AGGTACCTTTAAATCAATCTACTCAAGGCTGACCCCAGTGGTGAAGGCTTGGACAATGACAAATGGTCTTGGTATTGAAAGACATGACAAGTTGCATTGGTAGGACAGAGAATTTATCCCTCCAAAAAAATCATGTGAAGATTGACTGTGGTCAGACATAGGACAGCAGATACTGATCTGAGTGGAAGGTTCACGAACATCAAAGATAGGATAGTGGCTTCCCATGTGAAAAGACATGACAGATTGCAAGTATGGAAAACAGCCATGGACCTGACATCAAAAGCAACTATTCATAAGTGGCAGAATGTCAACTCATCCCAATCCTTCAATCATATCCCCAATGATCTATATATACATAGTTAACCACACTACATACTATATGTCAGAAAAGTGGACACTACAAACCATTGTAGTCTCAAAAAGTGGACACTATTAACTTTTGAAATGAAAAAAGCGGACACTACAAACCATTGTAGTCTGAAAAAGACATTACTAACTTTTGTAGTCTCAAAAAGCGGACACTATTAACTTTTGTAATGAAAAAACCGGACACTACAAACCATTGTAGTCCGAAAATGCAGACACTACTAACTTTTGTAAAAAGCGGACACTGTTAACTTTTGTAATGAAAAAACCGGACACTACAAACCATTGTAGTCCAAAAAAGCAGACACTACTAACTTTTGTAGTCTCAAAAAGCGGACACTATTAACTTTTGTAATGAAAAAAGCGGACACTACAAACCATTGTAGTCTGAAAAAGCAGACACTACTAACTTTTGTAGTCTCAAAAAGCGGACACTATTAACTTTTGTAATGAGAAAAGCAGACACTACTAATTTTTGTAGTCTTTGTCTGACCTTTGTGGTCTATGTCCAACTTTTGTAGTCTATTAGTAAACTTTGTAGGCTATAACTTACTTTTGTAGTATATCAGCAATCTTTCGTAGTCTGTCAGTGTCAATTACCCTTTTAGGGCATGTACCTTCCTTTTTGGGAGAAATTTCCCACAATACAATAGTTGTAGCCCCTTCTCTTAGCTTTCTAAATCTGTTGAAATCATGTTGTTTAGTGTTCTTTTCATGTAGAAAAATGCAAAAAACAAAAAAAAACGCGACGCTTTTGAAAACCTTTTACCTCATATCTCCACAATGGAAGCACTTTAGGACATAATTCCAACTGATTCAGGAAGCTATGGTAAAGAGCTACAACTTTTGTTTTTTTACCATTTTTGGAAATTGGTCATGTGACCACCCTCCCAATGACCCATTGGATGGACCATAATATGACCTAGGGAATGAGATATTTATTGAAATTGCACAACATTAATTATGAAAAGTACAATGAAAGCATCCAATATTTCTAATGAAATATTCAATGAAAGCGCAAAGCATTAATTATGAAAGAGGCAATGAATACACCTGACTTAGGGAATGAGATATTTATTGAAATTGCACAACATTAATTATGAAAAGTCCAATGAAAGCATCCAATATTCCTAATGAAATATTCAATGAAAGTGCACAGCATTATTATGAAAGAGGCAATGAATACACCTGACCTAGGGAATGAGATATTTATTGAAATTGCACAACATTAATTATGAAAAGTCCAATGAAAGCATCCAATATTCCTAATGAAATATTCAATGAAAGTGCACAGCATTATTATGAAAGAGGCAATGAATACACCTGACCTAGGGAATGAGATATTTATTGAAATTGCTCAACATTAATTATGAAAAGTACAATGAAAGCATCCAATATTCCTCATGAAATATTCAATGAAAGCCCACAGCATTAATTATGAAAGAGGCAATGAATACACCTGACCTAGGGAATGAGATATTTATTGAAATTGCACAACATTAATTATGAAAAGTACAATGAAAGCATCCAATATTCCTAATGAAATATTCAATGAAAGCCCACAGCATTAATTATGAAAGAGGCAATGAATACACCTAACCCAGTGAATGAAATACCTATTGAAAGCGCACAGGTTTAATTATGAAAAGTACAATGAAAGAACTGAACAGCTTCAATGAAAAATTCATGGAAAGTGCATGATAATAATTATGAAAGCTCCTAAGAAATGTTATGAAAGGGTCCTGTGGTCTTTGCCTACATTTTATGAAAAGAACATAGCCTTTATGAGAAAGAATGACACAGGACACACCTATGAAAGGCCTTTCATAAAACTTGTGGACTTGTACACACAGCTCTACAGGCAAGTGCCTTAGTTTTATGATAAAGATGGTAGCCACTTGTGCGTCGTTTCCGTTGTCGTTGTTGCTAGGTAGGCGTTGTGGTAACGTTTTTGGGCATTGGTCGTCCTTTGCCGGTTGTCGTCCTTTGCCGGTTGTCCTCGTTGCAGGTGGTTTGTAGCAGTTGTTGCCGTTTGTGGGTGGCAGGGGTCGTTTGTGGTGGTGGTCGGGTGAGGTGGAAGTCGTGAGTTGGTTGTGGGGTTGTCGTGGGGTTGACGCAAGCAGCAACGTCACGAAGTCACAGCATGTGACGTTTGCGTCAACGTTCAAGTTCAAATTTGTAGTGTCCATTATGAAGTTTTGTAGTATCCCCCTTTTTAATTACAGGACTTTCTAGTCTGCTTTTTGGGAATGGCAAATTTTGAGGGTCTGCATTTTGCATTACAAAACCTTGCAGTCTTTGCTTGCAGCTTTTGGGACTACAAAATTTTATAGTCTCCTCTTTTTTTGTTACAAAAGTTTGTACCTATCATTCTTCCCCCATAGAGTAGGCCCCTTTTTATTTATTAGAAAAGTTTGCACTCTCCCCTTTTTTATTGTAGTATCAGCTAAAGGGTATGTGGCTAAGTCAACTTGTCTACTCAGAGTCAAGGACATGACAAGACACAGTACACATTCTTGTAGTTTGAAAAAGGGGACACTAAAAACTCAAAAAGCTGGTCCAACAAACTCTTGAAATGAAAAAGTGGACAGCTGGTATTGAGCTGGTACTACAAACTTTTCTATTGAATAAAAAGGACATTTCAATTTATATAGTCTCTAAAAGCAAACACTACTGAAAAGCAGACACTGCAAATTTTTGTAGTGCCAAAAGNCGGGCACCGTGAAGTTTTGTAATCACTC